CTTTTTAAAGTACATTATAGTCCATTGACTATGCATACAAGTGGGAACAAAATGTATCAGGATGTAAAGAGTCATTATGGATTTTGTTACTAGACTATCTTTGACATCAAATAAAAAGGATTCCATTTAGGTGATAGTGATTGGTTAACTAAATCAGCACATTTCATTCCGATGTGAATGAACTATGCATTGGATAAATATGCAGCTTTATATATATCAAAGAGATAGTTCAGCTACATGGAATGCCAATATTAATTATATCTGACAGGGATCCAAGGTTCACTTTAAGATTTTGGAAATATTTGCATAAAGTTTTGGGTACTTGATTGAATTTCAGTACGATATTTCATCCACATACGGATGGTAAGTTAAAAAGTACTATTTAGATATTAGAAGATATGCCGAGAGCATGTGTGATTGATTCCAAGGAATCATGGGAAAAATATTTAATTTTAGTAGAATTTTTCTACAATGACGGTTATCAATTGAGTAACAAGATGGCTCAGTATGAAATTGTATATGGGAGAAAATGTCGAACACCATGGAATGGGTTCGAGTTAAAAGATCGAAATCTTGTTGACCAAGATTTTTATTGAAATAGGTTGAGGATGAAATAAAGATTATCTCAAGATGATATTTGATCGGCAAAAGTCCTATGCAGACTTGAAGTTAAAAGAGATTGAATTTTATGAAGGTGATAAAGTTTTTCTTAAAGTATCGCCTTGGAAAACAAAATTTTGTGTTTCGAGAGCATAGAAAAACTAAGTATAAGATTTATTGGACCTTATGAGATATTAAAAAGAGAGTTGGACTGATGACTTATCAGTTAGCATTAATTATGGAGGTAATTGAGATACAGAGTTGGACAAAGTACACAATGTTTTTCATGTGTTGATGCTTATAAAGTATCGAATGGATCTTTCACATGTCATTGCATCAGACGAAAATTAAGATCCGATCAGATTTGACTTATAAAGAAGAACTAGTTCGGATATTAGCTCGAGAAATTAAAGAACTGCATAACAAGATGATTTCTCTAGTCAAAGTGATTTAGAAAAATCCTAATGACGAGGACGTTACTTGGGGAAAAAGAGGATGATATAAAGAAATAATATCTACATATCTTCATATAAGGTTGAAGATTTGGATTAAATAGTTTCCAAATCTAATGATTTGCATAATCTTCACAAAATTTCCAAATTAAGGAGGAAAAATCGGAATTCAAGAAGTTGGCAAGACTAGAAGAGATTTTGCATAAGGCGAGAGTATGTCTTACCAGTCAGTACAACCTTAAATTAAGGTTATGAATTTTCAAGGGAAAAAGGAAGTTAGTGTTTTCATAGAAAGTTTTAAAATTCGAGGACGAATTTTCTTAAGTAGTGGAGAATTGTAATACCCCAAAAATTTAGATAATGACCAAAATAAAAATTTTGAAAATTTGATGATCAAAGTAGAAAATTGGGAAAAAGTTTAAGGAATTAAGTGATAATTTCCTAAAAAGAATTTTTTTCCATAAATAAATGGTTTACTCTTTAGAGTGGAGTTTATAGAAATCATAATTTTGGATTTGGAATTTTTAGTAAAGAAAAAAACTAGAAAAGGTTAAATCTGATAAGGAATCGGTAAATCGGATCAAGTTGGAATTTTACAAAAATTTGAAGAATGTTATAATATGGTTGAAAATATTATTTTAATATTTTGGATTAGAGAAATTTGGTTTGAAAATATGCAATTTTTCAGATTTAATCGAAACAGTGGAATTTAGTGACTAAAATTCTTATGTGAAAATTCAAGGTAATTTTAGAAATAAAAGTCAAAATAATTCATGTTTGACTTTGTAATATGATAATGATCAGATGACTTGGTTTAATGGTGATTATGGAGATTCATTAAGGGCAAAAATGGAAATTCTTATGGAATGTAATAAAAAATTCCATTAGGATATTATATTAGCATGTGATAGATATAATTAATATTAGAATAACAATATTGGGGGAACATTTCAACTTCTTCTTCCTCCAAGGGCCGACACTTTCAAGCAAGAAAGGTAAGCATTTTTAGTTTGACTTTTGAAGCTATTTCTTGAGAATTTGAGTCGGTGTGGTTAGGAAAAATGTTCTACGTTCAATTCTCTACATTTTGACATGAATATTACTAGGGTTTCATGTTCAAGTTCATCTTGAGTTGATGAAGGGGATTTTGATTCTTGTGTTTTATGGGTTTTGAAGAGTTAAGTGATTTTAAAGAATTGGTTGTAAGAATTGATGAAGAACCTAAAAATGAAGTTAAAGAAAACAATTTGGATTTTGAATCTGGCAGTAGGTTCGAAAATTCACCATAAATTGTACAGAATGAATTAGAATGAGTTCTTTATATGGATAGATTCGTATTCGAGTCTAGTTTTCAATTGAAGAAACGGAATTGAATTCCAGTATGTATATCAATACAGAGTATTGATTCTTTGAAGGTAGTGCGAATTGTCTGAATATGGAAAATTGATGGGTTGTTGTATATGTGTTGTATAATTGATATACTATGCTGGAAAATATTATTTTGGAATTAAAATAAGAGTTATATGTGATATATGACTGTTTTGGAAGTTTGAAAAGATTTGTGGTTTATTTACAACATTTGTAGAGTTGGGGTACTTAAAGATAATTATGCCTTTGTAAAGCATTTGAATGATAGTAATTTCAATGCTGTAATTTTTGATATTAAGAATCTAAGTGATAAAATAGTGAATGACCATTTTGTGTAAATTGGAAAAATTGATTCCAATGTTAAAGGAATTATTAAGAGATAAATATTTTGATAGATAATGAGTTTCAAATATATTATGGAGTTATTATGGGATATGTTTATGTTAGTACAATACTAACATATGTATCATTATGAATTGATGATTTATACAGATTGTGATTGATTTGTAATCGAAACAAATCAAATATAAAAGGGCTTATGATGGACAATAGTGAGGCTTATATATTTTGAAAGACATAAAGTGTCAAGGTGAGTGCAATACATGCATGAAATTATACATGGATGTTTTATACATCATCAGGAAGACTTGCGATAAGTCGACCTTGTTTATATCGACATGATTTTATATCATTTTTTATAATTTGACATTGATATGTCAGAGTATGAAATTAAAATGCATTGATCACTGATTTTTGCATATGATTTTTTACCATGAATGTTATTTCAGGTATCAACTGCCCAATTGTTAAATATTGATAATATACTTTTCCATGGATGGATCAAATAAAATAGACTGTATGCCCAAATAAGTCATTGAGGGACATGGTGTAGTTGGCATGCCATAGAGTCCAGCAGCAGGCTGAATATTCGAGAATACACTAAAGGATACCTAGTGTATATGGTGGGTACGACCTTATGTGCCATACGAGACTATACTTAAGGATACCTAGTACAGAGGGTGGACAAGACCTTATGTGTCATACTCGGGATGGCACTACGGTGCTTATATTTGACTCGTGTACCCAGGGTCCTCAGGGTTGTATTTTGGGCTATTGCCTATTGTTTATGGGTATTTTCTATGGCATATGGTTATGGAATAATGGCAAGTATATTGATAAAATAAGCTTATGAGCTTATGAAATTTAAATGGTAGGTATTTTGGTAAAATAAGCTTACGAGTTTATGCGATAAATGGTAAGGGATTTTATATTAATTTGATCATGGTAAAATATTGGTTATATTAGTAAAATGATTTTATGGAAACTCGATTTTTTACATTGAAAATCATGCATGAATTGTATTGCATTGTTAAATGTTTTAATTGCCTCACTAAGTTTATACTTAGCGTGTGATGATTTTCACGCGTAGGTAAAAATCCAATAGTGGATTAAAGAGTTCAAAGTGACATCAAGCATCGCGAGAGGTATATTTCAATATCAGTAAGACATCCTACAATGAAATTTGATTTTAGATAGTGACATGTAATTTGAAATTGTTCAATTTATTTGTTGAATAAATTTTGGAAATTTTTATAGTGATGAAAGGTTAATTTTTATGAATTTATATGTATTTTCGGAAGTTACTGTTGCAGTTACTGTAGTAGTACTGTAGCATGAACAGTAACCACGGTTTTAAACAAATTTTTCTAGAATGATTTTGGGCTACCGATTCCCCTACTGTTCATCGCCAATGTACACTATTCACTGTTTACGGGTATTGTTCACCATTCATTTAAAAAAATCTTTTGAATTAAATTGGTTATAACGAAACATAATTTATATGATATGATATTTTTATAATATCATTTACCATTTTAAGAAAATAAATTTTAAATCGCTTTTGAATTGGAAAATGATTTTAATAATTCGGGTGACATCTATAATCTGTATAGGTATAATTATACGGTTTATGGGTGTTACAATCCCACTCCAAGAGGAAACAAAACCTGTAGTTGTTCATACAAATATACCTTTCCATCACCCAAGGATGGGTCACCAGTGATATGAGAAAGGGAAACCCTGTCAGTATACATAGATCTTGCTCCAGTCCTGGATGAAGGACTCAAACCCATACCAATGTTGGCCATGGAACTCACCTTCCCTTCCATATCATACCTGCATGGAAAAAAACTGTATCGGAAAATGCTACTTAAAAATGGAATAACCTGTAGTTCCTCGGCAACAATTAACTTACCAAGATCTCAACTTCTTTGCTTCTAGAATATCTGAATTAATCATCACTGTACTTTTACCCAATGTTGACAAAGATACACCTAAAACATTAAAATTGATTTCAGGATAACCATTTTATGCAAGATTTCTAGTTTTTCTGTCAGAAAGGCTCCAGCCTTAGAGTACCTTGAAAATCACCAACTTTGAGTGATTTAATTGCAACTACTGGATATGTATAAGCAAGGTCAAACAACTTCTGACCAACATCATTTGCAAGCTCATTCCACAAAGAATCCACCACTGTTTTCTTCCTGGCATCCAAAAGCGTACGACATTGGTAAATCATAATTAAAAGGGGAAAAACACATAGGAGTCTAGAAGTGGACATTTACGTTTCATCTGCAACAACCATATCTCTCTCTTTGGAATATTCTCATTCTCAATCTTCCTTTTAATATTTGATACAGGAGTGACACTTTGAACAACTCCGATAATATCTGGAATTCAACGTAATAAAAGAAAAAAAAAAAAGAATCCAAGGCATTGAAGGACTAAAATACATCATGTTCTAAATTTCTAGGAATGAGTACTTACCAACAAGCTCCCATCCATTAACATCAGGGCCTAATTGATCAATAGGGACAAAGTTGAGTTTAGCTTCTGGAATAAATGTTTCTTCATCAGAAGCCTCTTCCACCACAGAATTCTCATTCAAAGTCTTTTCATAATCATTTTTAGCAGTCTTAAACTGCTTGTTAGCAACTTTTAGTGTGCCTTTTGATATGTAATAGACTTTCCCCGGTTGAAACTTCTCATAGAACTTCCTTGCAGCTTCATTAAACATTGTGGCTTGAATTTGTGTACCCTATAAAATACAAATCCTTCAATCAATTAGAACCCAATTTTCTACAAGTTATTAAAAGGTTTCTCCAGACACAGCATAAGAAGATCATAAGTTATTAGCAGCTTACATCTTCATCTGTTAACTCCACATTGAAAACACAACCTTCTCCTCTAGCATTCTTATAGGTACGCATGTTTCCCTTGCTTGTGAGACGAACTTTAATTGTCCAATTCCCTTGGTAAGGATTCAATGAAACAGGAGGATGCACTCTTGTAGTCGTTGACATCCGGGCAACTGGAGCCATACTATAAATTTAAGAACAATGTAAGACACTACTAAAGAAACAATCAAATCTTATAGATGACAATCAAGAAGAGTGCACTTTAGAAAAATTAAGGAAATTTACTTTTCTCGCTGCTCATGTACTATTTGTGCTGCAGACTTTAAAGCCACTTCTTGCTTTGGCTTCAAAAATAATACCAGCCAAATCGGGTTTAGCCTCATTTTGACTCTCACGTTCAAGTTTCGGCTTCTTTAAAACAATATCAGGTTCCTCGGTTTTGATCTCTGTCTCAAGTGCAGAAGATACTACCTCACATTTTGTCACAATTAGGTACCTGAAACCCAGTGCACGTTTCAAACATCTTGTTTAAGAAACCTTTAAACAAACAAATAAATAAACAGTGAAGGGTAATCAAAAGTTACTTCTCTGATTTGTTGGGGATATTATTGAGGGTATAATTAAGAATTTTAACGAGACCCTTGTTCTGAACACTGCCTACAAAGATCTCAGATGACATGTTTGATGGAAATATCGCTCTCAGTTTCATCTTACCATCACTTGCATTAAACCTTCAAAATCAAATATAAACCAAAATAATAATCAGTCATTCCACTTTCATTGGAAAAAGTATCATTCTTCAAACAGTAATGCACTGATGGTGTTCAGTTTGTCGCTGAACAAACAACAAAACAAGAAAAACGGCGGGAAATAAAAAAAAAACAAGTGTTCAAGCAAATAACACATATCTAAACAACACATTGAGTAAATAAATCACAGCATATCAAGAGGGTGAAGAAAATTCAATTAAGTAGCCATCGACAAGTTTATCTCAAAAACCCAAAACCTAGAATTTGCTTTACAAAAAAACAAAAAAAGTAAATTCTCAATTAAAATAAACCAGATCTAAAAAAAACTTCCGAAGTAAATATACAATAGCGCATCAGGGTGATAAATAGGGGTGGTAATAGACCAGGCCAAACTCTAGACTTTATAAGGCCTGAGCCTGGCCTACGATAAATTTTTTAGGCATGAGTTTGGCCTGTAGCCTATCAAAGGCTTTTATTTTAGCCTGGTCTAGCATGATAGCCTTTTTAAAAGCCTTCTTCAATTAAACCTTTAATATTACTTTGATAATTGTTTTTACCAAAAAAAAAATAAACACCTTCACATTAATTTTTAATCCAATCTATCAAACCAACATATTAACTATTACAAACAAAAAAATAAAGCCTACATCTCCATTCCATTTGAACAGAACTGATACATAAAATATCTACCAATAAAATTAATAGTAACGACATTTCATCATTAGTTCCTCCATATCATACACAATCACCGTAAGTATTTCAATGAAGCATGCAAGCTTTCTTCACCCACGGGAGATTTCAATTTCATCAAAATCATTCCAAACAACTGAAGTTTTTTTCCTCCTTCTCCCGACAACTGGTTCTTCATGTTCATTTTCTTGATTGTTAGCTTCTACTTGAGTTGAATCTGCAGGAACTTGTACATTCACCTCATTATCATTTGTATGAGTGGATGCTATTGGTTCACTAATTTCCAAGGGAGAAGACATCTGCTAAACATAGTAAAAATATGAATTAAAACATGACAACTTAGGAATAAGAAACTTGATAGAAATCATATATCACCAAGTAACAAAAAACCAACGTGAACATGCCTAAATCAAGACTCATAATGAAACTTGTTAAAGGAATAAGAAGATGAAAGAAACAATGGCAAGGTTCTGAAGTTTTACCTCTATCAAAGCTTTAAATGAAAAGGATACGATTTTTGTTTGCTTTGCAATTTTTGTTACTTGTGTTCTCTATTTTACTTCAACAGACGTAATAGGAAAAGGAAACGTTAAAAGGAATAGGACCTAGTGGGAGGTTTATCATTCTTCATCTTCAACGAGGTTGGTGGGTGGTTTAAAGTGCTTAATGTTTGTAGGACCTAGTGGTTAAATGCTTTAATATCTCTATTATCTATATTGCCTCTTATCGAATTTGGTGTCCAAGTGTCATTAATTCAAATGCCTAAAGTTAGATGAAAAATTAAGTCTTAAATTCATTTTCAATAATACATGCAATTATTGTTTCATTTCATCTCATAATGGGAGTTGACGTGTAACTTTATTCTCACTTATATCATTAGTTAAATCAGAAACAATTCTGTTCTATAACACTTTTTGTAATTTCAATAAGCACGATTATTGAAACCAGGCATTAACAAATATATTCCAGTGGACCAGTGGTATGTTCAGTTCAAAAAGAATTGATAATGGTCTAATGGATTGGCTATAAAAAGAGAAACAAATAACCCATTAATTTACTGACAATGATACGCTAATCGAAATAATAATTTAGTTTGGTTTATTATCTCGGTTAATGAATTTAACAACAAGAATTATTGAATTGGGTTCAGGTAAAATTTTTGAAACTATGTTTAAATTAAAAACTGCGTGAGCTTTGGCTAGGACCAATTTTTGACCATACCTTGTCGTTTCCCATGCAAGCACCCTTCCCGACAACAGCTCCCATACTTTGCTGTTCCCCACGCCACACCATGCCCGACAACAGCGCCCATCCCCTGCCCATGCTTTGGCATCATTGAACGCATGGAGAAATCAATAAAATTTCTCAGCATTTTCCATTTTTCTCTCACCGATTCAAAAAATGTAAGAGAGGCCCCCGATTCGAACTAAAAAAACAAGCGGTTGTATTCTCTCCTCATTTTTAACGCGTTATCAATATAACAAACTAAACAAAGCAAGCAAAGTTTTTCTTCTCTATTCTTTCTTACTTTCGTTCGATTCCAATTTCCAAGCAGATTTAAAAAAAAACAGAATATAGAAAGTAAGGACTAAGGAGGAGTGCTTACCTTTTGTTGGAGATTTCGTCAGCGTTGAAGTCCCCGGGTTAGCAATCGTTTGGTTCGGCTTTTCGGTTATAAGTTGAGTGAGGAAGAAGACAAAAGGGGCTAGTTGGGGTCTCGGTTTGGCCTTGATTAGGACTGGTTCGGCTCCTCGGTCGGTTCGGAATGACCAATCGAAGCAAAGAGGCCGCCGTGGCTTGAGAGTGGTCGGTCGCTGCATTTGGGTAGAAAGAAGAGAACGAAGATACCTTGGCGGCCTGGCCTTTATCTTTCCATATTTATATTTTAGTCACCAGTTTACATGTTATACCATTTTTGTTTATGATTGACTTTGGTCCGGATATGTATAATTATTTCATTTTAGTCACTACCTTGTATTTTGGTTCAATTAGTAATTTAGTATTTGCTCATTTATATTGGTACCCAAAAAACACTATAAGTATATATATATATATATATATATATATATATAGACTGGTCTATCAGACTTATAAGGTTTTTTAATAAGCCTAAGTCTGGCCTATTTAATTTAATAGGCTTTTAAAAAAGCCTGAGCCTGATTTTTTTATTAAATAGGCCAGGCCAGGCCAGACTTTATGTAGGTCAGGTCGTAAACTCCTGTAGGTCGGCCTGGTCTATTCCCACCCCTAGTGATAAATGAAGAAAATTCAAGATAGCTATTGACAAGTTGGGCGCAGAAACCCAAAACCCAGAATACATTTGACTAATGTAGACATCCATTTTCATTTGTGGCTTTTTAGTATATATAATAATATAATATAATTTTTAAAAATATTTTCGAAAAATGTATAACATATAATTTTTGAAAACATATAATATATAGTTTTTAAAAAATCAAATTTTTAAAATATATAATATGGTTTTGAAAATTTGATTTTGAAAACACATTTTCAAAAACGTATATTATATAGTTTTGAATTTTTTTTTGAAAACATATATTATATAGTTTTAAAAACATATTTTTGAAAATGTATATTATATAATTTTGAAAAACATTTTTTGATATAGTTTTGAATTTTTTTTTGAAAACATATAATATATAATTTAAAAAAAACAATTTTGAAAACATTAATATATAGTTTTTAAAATAATTTTGAAAACATATAATATATAGTTTTTAAAAACGGTTTTGAAAACATATAATATATAGTTTTTAAAATAATTTTGAAACGATTTTGAAAACGTATAATATATATTTTTTATTTTTAGTATTATATAGTTAGTAATTTATATTATTTTATTTATATTATTTTTTTATTTATTTCACTTATTTATTTTATTTTGGTTTTTAGGTCCAAATCAGAATCTGGTCTAAGGAGAAGCCCAACCGGGTAGACAGGCCTGACCCAACCAGCCAACCTAAGAAGCCCAAGCCACTCTAGGGTTTCGTCATTAAGTCCAGCGCCACACAACAGGGAACCTTCAGATCAAGGCACAAATCAACGGAAAAGATCAAAGGAAATGGGATATATGCGCAGATCATACTGGTCTGTTGGATCTGACCCAATCCAATGGCCAGGAAGGCCTCATAATATTCTAGAATACAAAATACCACAACAAGCATACGGACAGCGTGTGAGGACCACGCGCCAACGAAAGGAGCAACACAGGTTTATATGTGCTAAACTGAAGCATTTCGGTACCCAAAACATAAAAATCGGAGCAAACAAACCAATATGCCCCACGATTCCAGTAACATGCAAACCGAACCCAAAAGAACAAGCAATAAAACAAACAAGATTCATTTTCAACGGCAAATCACGATAAAACAACAAAGATCGAAACGACATGGGAAATAAATCCCTCGTAAACAATGAAATCCCAAGGATCTCAGGATCGATGGGAGAGGAACTGAACCCTAAATCACCTATAAAATCCTACAAACAAGAAGAGGAAAATACATCAGTTTTTTTAGGATGAGTTTTCGAAACACTAAGAAAAAAAAGAGTCAAGTATAATAGAAGGCCACTTAGCTTCGTGGGCATTCAAACTCTGAAAGGGATAAAAGACATTCACCAGAGCACGAACGTTCGGTTGAATCAGAAACACCACCATCGAGAGGTAAAAAGTAGAGATCTTTTTATCAGATCTACGTCGATTGGGCTTTTTTTTTGTGGTGATCGGACTTTGGTTTTATATTCACGAGGTCAGGGGAATGTTTTGAGGAATTTTTCCACTGGTTGGAGTGGCGGATCGGGCGGTGGGTGGTCGTCGGAGGTTGGCCGGTTGAGAGAGGAGTTGAGACCTTTTTGGGAGATATTTTTTGTTGTTGGAGAAATGAGGTTGAATGATATTTTTTGTGTGTTTTGGGGTATTTATAGGTGGACTAGGTCGTAATTATGAGATTCTTAAATTATTTCCGCAATCTCTGTACTTTTGATGTGTAATTCATATTGGTCACCTATATCAATTTGCCTTTGAATTTTCAATTAATTCGATTTAATCACTATTTTTAATTTATGTTTTTTACAATTTAGCCCCTTACATTTTTGTTTTTCTCTTGCAGCTTATTTTTAGCATCAATTCGATCCATGAATGTCAATTTATTCGAATTTAATCCTTTAAGTTTTTTTTTTAAATTTAATAATTTTTGTTTTTATTATGTTATTTTTTATTTACTTCCAAAATCTAACATTTCTTTCTTTTTATTTTATTTTGTTTTTCCCCTTTTTAGAAATTAACATTTTCTTCATTTTTTATTTTTTATTTATTTATTTATTTCCTTTAAAATTTTAATTTTCTTCATTTATTTATTTTATTATTCTTTCTTTTAACTTGATTTTATTTTTTTAAAACTTTTTTTAAAATTTTATTTTTATTTAATATTTATTTATTTATTATATTTTTCAATCTAACATCTTTTTGACTTTTTAGGTGAAATTTTAATCGATCAAAGGCAAGTAGTTCGAATCGAATTTTTAAATTTCAATTTAAACTTTAAGTTTCGCAATTAAGATAACCGAGAAATTAAATGGTACCGGAAGGGCAGTACAAGGGTACTAATCATTCCTTGGCGGTAACTGACTCCCAAATCCGACATATTTTTGGTAAAACGAAGATCAGGTAAGATGGTAAATTAAGGTGTCCAGTCAACCTAATTTTTCTTAAAAAATGATCAGTGGCGGCTCTAACATGTTTTATTTAAGTCGAAGCCCAATTCCAGGCCCACCAGAAAGACGGTTGCGACAGCTTGACGACTCTGTCAGGGACAGGTAAGTGAGTCAGGCTAATGTTAATTTTCGGGTATCTTTTTAAGCGAAAATTACAAGTTTAAATTTTAATCTATTTATTCGATTCTTATTATTTATCTTTGATTATTTTTCAAATAAATAGTTGTATTGACATTTTTTCAATGATTTCAGATTTTTAAAATTGTCATCCCAGGCTCTATACCCGAGCTCCAAACCTTTTTTTTAAGTGGAGGTGAAAGCGACGCCTTCGTGAGAGTTTATTCTCCGTATAGGACTAGCAAGTAACGTTCGAGATTCATATACCTTATGTCTTCGTGTGAATTTATTCTCCGTATAAACATAAGGGAATGTATCCTCTCGAGTTTAACTTGGTCCACATAGGCTTGTAATGAGCTTAGGACTGAGGGTCTGACAAGCCCAAGGGGGCACTAGCAAGGAGAACTCGGGTACCTTTTTTTTAGAACCTAAACCGGGAGACAAGGAATTAGAGCCCACCCCAAAACTTCATTTCAAAACCTAGGCTATCTTGAGTCATTTTCTACTTTATTTTATGTTTAGAGCATGTAAACTAGAAGTTTATATGGTTAGGACTTGTTCATACGGGATAGAGATTATGTCCGGGTAGGAATAATAAGCATGTGAGGTAGATATCATGTGGGGTAGGACTTATTATTATTATTTTGATTATTATCTTTATCTCACTAACTTTTTTTCCTTCATTTTTATTTTATTTTATTTTATTTATCATTTACATCATTTAAAAGAGGTGTTGATCCATAAAAACGTGTTCGTTAAACATAAATAGTTTTCATTAATGAACAAAGGGGTTGTAATGCAAGAGGTAAAAAAGCAGATGTCCAACTATGGTCAGAAAAGACTCAAGAGGAAAAGGGAGACAATCTGCAAGGTAACTATGTGTCAGATCTGGTTAGTTATGCTTTTGTCAGCCTTAAGCAAAACAATGTTCAAGAACTGTGGACAACTAGAAAAGTGACTAGAAACAGAAATTTTTCCAGCGGTATGGTGATATCGTGCTTCTACTCTATGTCAAGATACACGAACCCCTAGTTCGAGCATTAGTGCAATTCTAGAATCCGGGTACAGTTGTTTCACATTTAATTAAGAAGATATGGTACCCACCATTGAAGAATATACTACTTTGTTGTATTGTGAAAGAATCAGAACGGACCAGGTCTACACCAAGTACATCAAAAGTCAGCCTTTCAATAATGGGCTGGCAAATGTTGCAGGGGTAGATGAAAAGTGGGTCAACCGGATTCAACACAAGGGTAAAGGATAAAGAATTGCTTGGACCCACACCAAGCAATTAATGAAGAATCATACTGACGAATGGAAGGTGATTGATCTCTTCGTATTGGGTATTTACGACTTAGTTATTTTCCCAAAAACTTTGGGATACATCGAGGCAGCTGGGGTAGAACTGTTCAGAACAAATCCATTCTGAAAAGATCTTCCGAATACTGGAAGGTGAAGCCAACATCCTGAAAAGGAAGTTCAAAGAACAAGATAAAAAAGAGACATTGAAAGAACAATTAAAGACTTCCCAGAGACGTTTGTTAGAAAGCCAACACCAAGATAAACGATTGAGGACCAAGGTCACTGATCTGGAAAGATCCTTTCAAAGACAACAAAAGGATAACAAAATGATAGATGAATTAGAGGCCATTATTGACAAGTTCAAGAAGCATGCAAGTGAGCTTCAGATAGTTCCCTTTGATTGAGGATTTCAATGGCGTCTTCGTTGGGAACAAGCTCAACAAAGGGTAAAAACCAGAGATATGGCTATTCGAGACTTCTTAGAACAAGTATAGAAAGTTGCACATCACTTTCACGTTTTGGCAAAAGAAGCTGGAGTGGTCCGATAGGGTATTCAGCCGGTGACAGATAAAGGAAGAAGACTTGTTAACCTGCTAGAAGCCATTTGGGGTCTAGAGGATTTAGTTTTAATGTACCTCTGAGTTGTTTTTGACCTCTTAGAAATAACACTTTTGCCCCA